CCACTGTCCCCACTGTCCCCACCACTGTCCCCACTGTACCTCTGTCCCATTGTCCCACCGCCGTCCTCGCCACCGCCTTTACCACTGTCCCCACCACCATTGTACCCTCCACTGTCCCAGTGTTTCCACCTCATTCCCACTGTCCCCACACCACTGTCCCCACCACCACCGTTCCCACCACTGTCCACTGTCCCCCCTGTTCCCACCATTGTCCCCACCACTGTCCCCACCACTACCGTCCCCACCACTGTCCCACTGTCCCCCCACTGTCCCCACCACTGTCCCGCTGTCCCCTCACCACTGTCCCCACCAACACCGTCCCCACCACTGTCCGCACCCCCACTCGGTTTTCGAGGGGGGGGGGCGGAGGGGGGGGGGTTCGAACCGGTAGTGACCCCCCCCCCTTTTCATGATGAGCTGGGGGGGGGGTGGGGGAGGGGTTCGAACCGGTAGTGACCCCCCCCCCGGTTTTCCGGAGGGGGGGGGGGAGGGGTTCGAACCGGTAGTGACCCCCCCCGGTTTTCCGCCAGCAGCGGTAGAACACGCTCTGTCATATATATATATATATATATATATATATATTGGAATACACATTTCCCCGTTCATATTTTTCTTACCTGGGACCCCCTCCTTTCCCGACCCCGAAATCGGACCCCCAGAATCCCGGGCCCCCGGGACCCTCTGGACCCCCTCGGATCCGTGGCCCCGGGGACCCCCTGGACGCCCCTGCAGGAGGCCCCTAGGCGTTTCAGAGCTCATAGAAGCCCGCGCTGGGCCTGGGCAACGGGCCCAAATCGGCCAGGAGGGCGGCCGAACGCCCCCCCCCCGAGGGCCCCAAGAGGCCCCAAACACCCACCAGACGCCCGAAGACGACCCCCCAAAAAAATCCAAGAGGCTTTCAAAACGCAGAACAATATTGATTCCCGAAGGTTTTTACATGATTGTGGGAATGACCTGTTCTTCGGTCTTCTGGGCGTCCGCGACCGCTGGGGAGGCTCGAAAATCGCTTCAAAACCACCCGAAAGGGCTTCCAGGCCGCCCAAGAGGGCCCCAAGACGGCACAACAGGGTTCCAAAATGGCCTAAGGGAGACCCATGACGGCCCAATACGGCCACAAGACACCCTCCGAAGCATTCCAAATCGTGACCCAGTCGTTCAGGGAGACCGCGGTTGGAGGCAGCGTGGCCCGAGGAAGCCTTCAAAACCCCCCACAAGACGCCAAGGAGGCGTCCAGAAGGCCTTCAGAAAGCCTGACAAACTTCGGTGAGGCCCCAGAGGCTCTCCAAGGAGGATTCCCACAGAAAGAGCTGAGAAGAGAGGAATTGCAATAATTCATAGGGTGGTGCGAAAGTGAGGAAAAAAGGAACATGTAGGAAGGACAACGAAGAACATTACTATAACGGCGGTACCAGATGAGGGAACAAGGTCTTATCGCTGAACTGTCTGGTTGACATTATTGTCATTCCGCCCGCATGCCAAACTTTAAAGACCAACGTGCATGGCGCGACGCGCCCATGAAGCCTTGTGTATATATTTATTTATATATATATATGTATATATGTATATGTATATGTATATGTGTGAATATGCCATGCGCGCTTCGCGTGCTTAGATTACTGCAAACACCCGCCCTTGACATACCCAAACATGAAGGTCATGAGTTGAACAACTAGCACAGAGGCGGACCGAGCATTACCGTCAGAGGTACGCCCAGGCACGTACAACGCGACGCCATGCAAACCACTGCAAAGCCACGACGTTATTTGAGCTCTTTGCGGTGGCAGTGCAATGCAAGGAGCATTATCGTGCTAAGCGCGTGTAGCCACAACCCGTCGCAACGCGAAGAAACGCAAAGCAGTTCAAGGAACAGCTAGCAAAGCAATTGCAAGGCAATGCAATGCCGTGAAAATCCAAACATAACAGAAGCACTACAGGAATAAGTTGTGAAGCCTCAATGAGCAACACACATACAATACACAACAACGCACTACGATCCAATGCAAGACCCCCGACAAACCCGACAGCCCAAAGAACATGGAGTTCGGATAGCGTAGGGACAGAAATCCGACGAAAGAGCCCTGGGAACCCAGGCTGGAGGTCGTAAGTGCCACTAGGTCACCTGCACAGCGGCAGGGCTAACGAGGAGGGAAAGAGGAGGGAGAAGCGAGAATACGGGCCGCAGCAGGGATGGGAGAAGGGGGGCGGCGGAAGGAGACAAAGAGGTAGGGAAAGAAGGAGACGTTTTCTTCTCCTGCGCTCGTTCCAACCAGCCTGTCAAGTCGTTCCTTGGGGGGGCGCGACATGGCGTAAGCCCCTTGAGTATCTATCTCTCGCTCTCTCGATATAGATATGTATATATATATACACATGTGCATATATAGCAAATGTGTAGGTGTGAATGCATACATGCTCACGCATACCGACATTCACACACACATACACACACACTCTCTCTATCACATGCACACACACACACACACACTTCAACATCACGCTACACAGGCGTGCGCGTGAGGACATGTGATCATGACACACACACATATGCATACATGCATACATACATACAGACAGACAGATCGACAGACAGACCGACAGACGGACATCCATACAAACATGTGCACATCTATGTGCGTATGTGTGTTTGTGTGCATGCATGTTTGTCTGGTGGTCTGTCTGTGTATCGGTATGTCTGCCTGTCAGTATGTATGTATGTGTGTGTGCGCATGTGTGTATGTGTGTATGCATGTGTGCGTGTATGTCTGGATGTATGTGTGCATATGTGTATGTATGTATGCAATTTGTATGCATGTGTGTATGCATGCATGTAGGCATGCACGTATGCATGTAGGTATGTGTATGTAGGTATGGCTGTATGTATGTGTGTGCATGTATGTATTTGTTTGGCTGGTTGTATGTGTGCATGCATGCATGCATGCATGTATGTATGAATGCATGCATGCAGACATGCCTGCATGCATGTAAATACGCATGTATGTATATATGTATGTATGTGTATGTATGCATGTATGCATGTATTACGTATACACATGCAAGTGCGCATGGTCGCACATATCCGCATACGCAAACCGTTCGCATACACACACACTGACGCACACTGAGAGCTTGAAGCCCCAGGAACACCAAGAGGGCACCAGCGTTAACCCTGCGAGGCCTTGGGAGGCTCCAGAAAGCCACCCCGCGAGGCCCCAGGAGGCTGCAAGAGGCCACCCCGCGATGTCCCAGGAAGCTCCAGGAGACCCCCCCCCGCAAGGCCCCTGGAGGCCGCGAGATGGAGGTCGCCAGCCGGGCTATCGTTCTTTCGCCACGGCGCAGAGGACACTTGTTCACAAAAAGTGTTCCGGAGCGCGCTTTCGCCGCCTTCCTCCTGAGGGGGGGTCGAAGGGGGGACGCGCTCGAGAACGAGGAGGAGGACGAGAAGGAGGAGGAGGAGGAGGAGGAACAGGAGGAGGAGGAGGAGGAGGAGGAGGAGGAGGAGGGCGGCGGGGAGTAGGAGGAAGGAGGAGGTGGAAGAGAAAAAAGGAGAAGATGAAGTTCCTGGAGGCCGCTGGAGCCAGAAGGCTTCAAGACGACCCAGAGGCCTCAGGAAGTCCAGCGAGAGCCCAGTCGACTGCAGGTTGCCACAAGATGGCATCCCCTCCTGGTCGATCTGGCGGAAGGGATGGAGGGAGGGAAAATGCAGGTTTAGACTTTAAGAGAATCGGTCTCTTTATGTTTGTTTCCCAATCAACCAGTCAAGAGTTGGATGCCCAGACTGGTGTCCAGGAGGGTGGCGAGAAGCCTGCTGAAGATGTGCGGCGAAGCAGCGCTTGAGTCAAGCGCGGTATGCTTGCATCTGCCGCACCATGCGAAATCCTGGGTCTTGCATCCTCCTCTCTCGTTCTTTCTTCCTCCCCTTCCTTCCTCGGTACTCCCTCCTCTGTCCCTCTTCCTCCCCCCTCTCTTCCTGCTTCCTCCTCCCACCTCCGTCCTCCACCTCATCCTTCCATTTGGTCTCACCTCTCCTCCTCCTCCTCCTCCTCCTCCTCCTCCTCCTCCTCCTCCTCCTCCTCTTCCTCCTCCTCCTCCTCCTCCTCGTCTTCGACTCTTAGCCTCCTCGTTATCCTCCCGACTCTCTTCTTTCCACGTGCCCAACGCAATGCGGTATAACGAGAGCCGCACGTTGTTCTTCCGCTCCAGGACCATGAGACACAGGAGGACGAGGAGACGATGAGGGGGGATAAGAAATGATGAAAAGGAGCAGCCCAGAAGAGGTGCAGGAGGGACAGAGCGAGAGAGAGGCGCACACGCGCAACTACAGTATGGCTGTAAGGGTAGGGTCGCAGACGATCGTCAGCAATGAAACCGAGATGGGGGCATACTAGTGGAACCGATTGAAGGCTCGTCGGAGGTTGGGGGTGGACGGTTTCCCCACTGGCCGTAGGCGACCCGAGGAGGGGAGGGCGAGGAGGGCGAGGAGGAGGAGGAGGAGGAGGAGGAGAAGGAGGAGGAGGAGGAGGAGGAGGAGGGGGAGGAGGGGGAGGAGGGGGAGGAGAAAGGGGAGGAGGAGGACGGGTCGCCGAAGCCCTTCGGAGGAACCCTCCAATTAGGGGGGTGAGACCGACATGAGGTGCCCCAACCGGACAATCGTTTCGTTTCGTGCATGCCGCGCGTGCGGGCGAGACGAAGCTATGCGAGTTGCTTCTCTGGCAGGGGCCAGGCCAGGGCAAAGAGGGGCGCCCATGGCTCTGGTCCGTGGCCCACGGTTGTCGTCCCAACACTTGTCCCGACGGTTGTCCCCACTGTTGTCCCGATGGATGTCCCCACAGTTGTCCCGACGGTTGTCCCGATGGTTGTCCAGATGGTTGTCCCGACGGTTGTCCCGATGGTTGTCCCGACGATTGTCCCGATGGTTGTCCGGACGACTGTCCCGATGGATGCCTCAAAGGTTGTTCCGAGATTTGTCGCTCAAAGGTAGAAAAGACGGCAGGCATTTCTACCAGTGGCGGATGGCTTGCAGACAATCTTGTCGACATGACGCACAGGGTACACGCGCAATATGGAATTATGGCATGGCGTGGCTTGCTGTCGCCGCATGCTGCTACCAGGGGTATGCCGAGCCAGGCGCTGGTGGTCTAACAATATTGTTCTTTGCCTTTCCAATACCCCTTCTTCCCTTCGGGAGTGGTACGTACCCCTCCCGCAGGTTTTTGGGGTCTCCCCGCGGTGAGTCAGGAGGTCATTTTCGTCCAAGGTGGCTCCAAGAAGGCCTCCGATGCTCCGAGATGACCCCCAAGATGGTTCAAGAGCCGATGATTGCGAAAGATAGCTTCCGATATGCCTCCAAGAGGCCCCAAGAGAGCCACAAGACGGTTCCAAGCGCCCTCGGACCCCCCAAAGGACCCTCCCAAGACGCCAACATCCTTCAAACACCGGTGGAAAATAAATGATGGTTGCCGTCTTGCCCTGCTGTTACCGATGGATTTTGAGGTCTCAATGTGGCCCGAAGATGGCCCGAGAGAGCCCCACGAGAGAGAGAGAGAGATGCTGAAGAAACCCCAAGACGGCCGCCCAAGAGCGCCCCGAGAAAGCCACAGAAGGGCCCCAAGCGGCGATTCTGATGGAGTTGGCCCCAAGAAGCCTCCAGGGCTCCCAAGAGGCCCCCAAGAGAGCTCCCGCAAGAGCCCCACGAGGATTCAAAGACTCCTAGAATAGCCCCACAAGAGGGCCACAAGAGAGCCTCAAGAGGATCCCAAGAGGGCCTCAAGAAGACACCATGATAGCTCCCAAGCATCTTCGCCTGATGTTTGCTTTTGGATGGACTGGTGGGGATATGCGCAGCGTCAAGAATAACACGCTGTAGGAAAACAATTGAAATTCTTCATTTGTTTTAGCCTCCACAAACCAAACCAACGGAGCTCAGTTCGACAGAAGTGCGACCCGCTGCGTACTAAACAGCAATGTTCACCGCTGTCGCCTCATCGCTGCCAAAATGAGCGAGAAGCCCTGGCCATTTCGGGCGACCCCAGCCTGTCACGGGATCCCAGCCCTGGCCGGCAGGAAAACCCGTCTCGCAAGAGGTCTTGGTGTTACCCGACGTCACGCTCTCGAACGCTTCACCTGGCGATCTGGCCATCACCTGATAGAGACGCGGCCCCAAAAAGCCAAGTGGAGGGAGACCTGCATTCAAACGGTGGTCCATCACCAGCGAGAAAATGCCAGCAACCATTGGTGAGGACTGGCTCGTGCCTTCGACTGCAACGGCCGAAATATCTGGGTACGCGCGGCCGGATGCATTGAAAGAGCTCGAAGGAGGCAAGTCTGATGTGCCTTGTAAGTATGCTGACACTGCTTCTTTTTGATGGGAAGGCGCGCCGAACTCCCAACTGAAACCGCCGCCACTCCCAGACCACGCTATGGGCTTGGAAGAGTCCTTGAACAGGACACCAGACCACGCTGTGCCGCCGACTGACGTGATGTAAGGGCTTGTGGTTGGGAAGACTGGAATCGCATATGCGCAAGATATTTTGTTGAGTGTATCAGCAATGGCTCCACCCGAAAACGGCTGAAAGGAGAAATGGGAACCTCCATCACCACTGCTGCCAAACACACTGACGCCACGAAGACCGAGCAACTGAAACGCTGTGTTGATGCGCCTGACCTGGTCGCGGTTCAAGAACATGCAAACTTGACGCTGGCTCTGCAAGAATTCGCGAATCTCTTTCTCAGTATGCCCTGCCTTGATACCTTCCGAGATCAATAAATCACAAGAATACGCTGACAGGGAACCCAGCGAAAGCGAAAGCACCTGCGGAAGAGTCGATCGGGATGGTAGTTCAGTCAAGAAGTCGAGCATTGCCTGGCCAAAACCTTCACCCTCCTCCGTTGACGCGGAAGTGTTGGTGTTGGACACAAGCGTCGTCACGCCAAGCCCAAACGAAGAGATCATCTGAGTGTCCAAATTTCCCTCCATGTAGTTGTCCCCTACGTGACCGTGGTTTCCAGTATCAAACTTGACCTTCTCCATGTCGAGCTGTGGGCACTGCTGGTCTTTGAAAGCTTGAAGTTGGCGGATACTGTACCCAAATGTCCCCGGCCCCCAAACCATTTGCAACGAGTTTGCATTTGACGCCTTCAAGTCAGCTGGGATTCCATAGGCTTTCTTAATGTTCCCCACAGTGTAGCCACCCATGCTGGAACTGCTGCTCGAAAGGCGTGGGTTTGAGGATTGCTGTTCAGACTTGCTGCCCCGGTGCACCACAAACTCTACCCCTGATGGTCAGAAGCCAGGCGAAGGCTGGCAAACCCGTGGCTGCTAAAACAAAGCTCCGGAAACTTGTTTTTGTTCTTCCGGGAAGCACCCCGTTTCTTATTTCGTGCGCTGAACTCGATTCTGGGAAGTTGTTTCATTCTTCCAGGAAGACCGTCTTAGCAACCACGGATTTGCCGGCCCTCGCCCAGCTTCCGAGATGGGCGTACAGCGTCTGACAGAAGCGTCTTTGGAGATGGCGCTGCAAATGTGGCAGAAATGGCATCGTGCAGCGGCGAGATGTTGAGCGTCTCTGGGTCTGCCCCAGATGCGACGAGCCAACGCTTCACCTCGGCAATGTCGTCGGCTTCGGGTGCAATCATCTCTGCCAGTTCGTCAACGCTGCGGAACTTGAGATACTCTTCGCTGCCTGGCGTGGAAACTCGCCAGAATAAGTGCTCCAACTCTGCAAGATTCTTCTGACGGAGGCCAACGAGCACCTCATTGGAAAGAGCACGGGCCGCGAGCAATACCAGACAGCCGCCAAGGAGACATACTGCCATCGATGCCACGCGCATGGCACCAGATTGTGATTGTTCACAAAGCTATTGAGTGCAAGCTTGAGCCAAAATGGCCACGGATGGGAAATAGCTGGAATATGGTCCACAGGAGATTGCTCGTAATTGCTTGCCGATCGGAACTGAGACCGCGACAGATAGAGACCGACTGGACGCTGGAATACCATGTTTGGCACAAGCGGACGACTCAACAACTTGCGGTGAACCTAGTCTGCAGAACCGCTGCGTCAAGATCAATCGAACTCACATCTCAAGTACGGTTTCGACAATGTTTGCAAAACATGCCATCAGGAAACCAGCGTAAATGAGAACCACGCGCGCTGCGCCAGCGCATAAAATCTCGGCGATTTCTAAAGGTGGCCTTCGTAGGCATGGGATGACTCCGTGGTGTATTCGAGGTGGCTCCCACTTACGGTCTTCTAATCTGCGGGCGGCAAATGCAAAGCTCAAGACTGTGGCGTATCACTGCGTCTCCAAATCGCGAAGTGGACACGCTGCGATCTTGTGAGTCCGTCTGGAACGCTACGAGGACCGACAACATGAGGAGGGGAGGGAGGTGCAGGACTACGACGGGCTGGGAAACATCAGTGATGCCTGCCTCTGGAGGCTCTCTTGGCGGTTCTCCTGGGGCCCCGTCGGGGCATCCTGGGGGCTTAGTTGGCCGTTGCAGGCTTATCGTGGGCTCTCCTCGGGTCTCCCGGACGCTCCATGAACGCCCCAGTGTCCCTCTACCTTCCAAGCCGACGCAGCCGCCCACGGTGAGGGAAGGCTGCCCAGAAAAGCGAGGCGAGGGCGTCGAGCGAGGAAGGGAGGAAGGAGACGGGCGAGGAGGAAACCAACCTCTTCTCCTCCTCTTGCCTCTCTCGCTGGGCCTTCCTGCGGCCTCCGCGGGGAACCTGGGGGGGCACCGCGGGGCCGCACCGGTGCCGTCGCGGGGGACATGCACTATGGGAGCTGTCCTGCGGCCTCTGGGAGTCATCTCGGGGCTCGGTGCGGCAGCCCACTGAGGCAGCCCGACAACCACGGCGGGCGTTCTTGAGACCTCTTGCGTTCTTGCGGGGCCACGATGGAGCCCCCCCTGTGGAACTGTCACGGCTCTGTGGGGACAGTTCCTGCTTCTCCTCCCTCCGTCCCTTCTCCTGCGCATTCCTCCTCTCTCCTCCTCCTCCTCCTCCTCCTCCTCCTCCTCCTCCTCCTCCTCCTCCTCCTCCGCCTCCTCCTCCTCCTCCTCCTCCTCCTCCTCCTCCTCCCTCTACTCCTCCTCCCACTCTTCCTCCCCCTCCTGTCCACGAGGGAGGATTCTGGGGAATCGACGGATCGGGGGGGGAGTACAGCCAAGGACCCTAAACTAAGGCGAAGTGGCTGGGCATGCGTCAGGCTCGGCAGGACGCTTGATGACGTTGATGTTGCTGGAACTGGAGCTGTGGCCAGCTCCCCTCGAGCCTCGCCCACGTTCAGTCCTCTCCCTCACCTTACGGATGCGGGCGTCTCGCTCTGAAAGAGCGCCCCAAGACTTGTCTTCAGCCGCGTTTGGCGCCGAATTTCGAGGCGGACCCGGCCACGTGGCGACGAGAACACCGCAGGAGGCTCCGAAAGAGCGGAAAACGGTGTGAGAACAACGAGGGTCGAAACAGGAACTTAAGTCCTGAACCTCCTCTCCCCTTCGAGTCTGTGGCGGCTCATGTCGTGACGACCTGCGCGTCGGTTTTTCGCCGTCTAGATCGCACAAACCTTGAGCGATCGCGGCATTCCGACGGCGCAGATCGCTCAGGACTGGCAGTTTCCTGGCCACTGGCGGCGTTCATATCGAAACCCCGCGCCTGGGTCGCTGCCGCGTCGACACGACACGAACCTTCCGAGCGGAGGGAAAGCTGTTTCTCGGGGGGTCCTTCCTCTGACAGTCTGGATCGCACAAGTCTCGAGCGGTCTCGCGACACTCCGACGGCGCATATCGTTCAGGACTGGCCGACTCCTGGCCACTGGCGGCGCTCCTTTTGAAACCCCGCGCCTGGGTCGCCGCCGCGTCGACACGACACTAACCGGGGAGAAGGAGGAGGAGGAGGAGGAGGAGGAGGAGGAGGAGGAGGAGGAGGAGGGAAGGGAAGGGAAGGGGAGGGATGGGGAAGGAGAGGAGGAGGAGGATGAGGAGGAGGACGGGGGAGGGGGGGAGGGGAGGGAGGAGGAGGAGGAGATGATGAGGAGGGGAGGAGGAGAGGAGGAGGACGGGGAGGAGGAGGAGGAGGAGGAGGAGGAGGAGGAGGAGGAGGAGGAGGAGGAGGAGGAGGAGGAAGAGGCGGCGGCGGAGGAGGAGGAGGAGGACGAGGACTTCCGTAGTGGAGGAAGAGTTGCTTCCCAGGGGCCCCTTTGCTGCGAGCCACGGGCACCCCAGGCGACTGGGTCACAATGTGGAGAGCCTGTGAAGCGAAAATCAATATTCCGAGATTCTTCACGGGGGGGCGTCGCCCCCGCCGACAGCCCCACATCGACCCCCGTCGCGGGCAGCTACCGCGCGCCGAAGGAGCTCCGACCCCCGTCGCGACGCGACGACGAAGCGAGGTTGACCCCCGTCGGGGGGTACCCCCCACGCTTATGAAGAAACGTAAAATACATGTTGTCTCCCTGGGCCTTCTTGGGGGTCCTTTGGGGCCCTTTGGGGCATATCGGGGCTCTCTGAGGCCGTTCTGGACCCCGTTTGGGCCTTTGGGGGGGCGCAGGCCCTGTATGGGGCCTTC